TTCTGTGTGTTAAAACAATACAATAATAAAACTATAAGGAAATACACCCTATAAATCTGAGCACAAATAATAAAAAATCTATGCTCAGAAATGTACATGTAAGGTTTGTTGTATGTGGTGAATGAAGCGTGTATTACATTGGGCATGCTAATCATATCATATGGATCTATCAAATCTGTATAAAATGTATTTTTGTAGACATGACTGTTGATGTAAATTCACAGTGAATCATAAGAAGGTTCTCTGTGATAGGCAAATGGAATTCTTGAGGTTGTTGACTGAAGTCACTGATATGATTCCGTCCTACTACCAACCAAATAAAATTTGTGAGAAATCAGTGGATAGGGATTTACAGTGCCTTAAGAAAGTATTCACCACCCCCTTTACTTTTTCCAAATGTTGGTTGTTTTACAGCTTGAATTGAAAATGGATTAAATTGAGATTTTGTACCCCATAATGTCAAAGTGGAATTTTGTTTGTAGAACGTTTTAGAAATGTATAAAAAGTTAAAAGCTGAATTGTCTTGAGTCAATAAAATATTCAACCCCTTTGTTATAGCAAGCCTAAATAAGTTCAGGAGTAAAAATGTGCTTAAACAAATCGCATAATAATTTGCTTTGAATCATTCTGTGTTCGGTAATAGTGGTTAACCCTAAGGTCGATGTCTGCACTTCCGGGGAAATCGAATTAGCATAATACAAAAATCCCCATAAAAATCTGTCAGTTTAAATGAAACATATTTGTTTTTTTGCGTTGGATGTGTCTTCTCAATCCCCCTCATCCGCCTATGTCGCACTTCTGCATCTGTGGTGAAAGGTGACAGAGCTAGAGCGGTGTTTGTCAGACCATGAGGCAATCCTGAAAATCAGTCTTCTCACAAAATCGTCTGTAACGTCCAAACAGTTTGGCCTCCAAACTATGACTCCTCAATGGAATGATGAGACTGTTACGAACACGATGGTGTTCTCTGTTTTGCTCTACGACCCCCCTCAAGCGTCTTGGAGCTCGTCTGAAGTCAGTACAGATGATCTGCCAACTTCTGTCTGTAGCGTCCAAACAGTTTGGGCTACACATTAATATGACCCCCTCTGTGGAAAGGTGAGACTCTCAAGAACACGTACATGTGTTCACAAGACTCATCTGAAGGTCCCCCAGTCCCAGTTGAAAAAATGAATGGAAGTATATATGGAGACTGTTTAGTGCCAAAAATAAGGGGTTAAATACAGTGGGGGAAAAAGGTATTTAGTCAGCCACCAATTGTGCAAGTTCTCCCACTTCAAAAGATGAGAGAGGCCTGTATTTTCATCATAGGTACACGTCAACTATGACAGACAAAATGAGAATTTTTTCTCTCCAGAAAATCACATTGTAGGATTTTTAATTTATTTATTTGCAAATTATGGTGGAAAATAAGTATTTGGTCAATAACAAAAGTTTCTCAATACTTTGTTATATACCCTTTGTTGGCAATGACACAGGTCAAATGTTTTCTGTAAGTCTTCACAAGGTTTTCACACACTGTTGCTGGTATTTTGGCCCATTCCTCCATGCAGATCTCCTCTAGAGCAGTGATGTTTTGGGGCTGTCGCTGGGCAACACGGACTTTCAACTCCCTCCAAAGATTTTCTATGGGGTTGAGATCTGGAGACTGGCTAGGCCACTCCAGGACCTTGAAATGCTTCTTACGAAGCCACTCTTTCGTTGCCCGGGCGGTGTGTTTGGGATAATTGTCATGCTGAAAGACCCAGCCACGTTTCATCTTCAATGCCCTTGCTGATGGAAGGAGGTTTCACTCAAAATCTCACGATACATGGCCCCATTCATTCTTTCCTTTACACGGATCAGTCGTCCTGGTCCCTTTGCAGAAAAACCGCCCCAAAGCATGATGTTTCCACCCCCATGCTTCACAGTAGGTATGGTGTTCTTTGGATGCAACTCAGCATTCTTTGTCCTCCAAACACGACGAGTTGAGTTTTTACCAAAAAGTTCTATTTTGGTTTCATCTGACCATATGACATTCTCCCAATCCTCTTCTGGATCATCCAAATGCACTCTAGCAAACTTCAGACGGGCCTGGACATGTACTGGCTTAAGCAGGGGGACACGTCTGGCAAATAAAATTCATTAAAAATCCTACAATGTGATTTTCTGGAAAAAGAAATCTCATTTTGTCTGTCATAGTTGACATGTACCTATGATGAAAATTACAGTCCTCTCTCATCTTTTTAAGTGGGAGAACTTGCACAATTGGTGGCTGACTAAATACTTTTTTCCCCCACTGTACATGTCAAAAAAAGTAAAAATGTTTCCTGATCTCTCAGATATAGGGCAAACACTTCAGAACAAACTTCCTTTAGATTTTTTTGGGGGGACTATCTGTTGGTCAATGTAGTGAATCTAAGGCCAAATAAAATTTTTCATAAAATATATATATTTTTTATACTTCAAGGGGTCTTAACATTCAAAATCAATAGCAAAATGATCCTGGGTATGACCTTCTTAAAACAATTCCATATAGCATTAGACAGGGCTTAGACTGTTATTGGTTAACATGAGTTTTGAATGACTACCACATCTCTGTTCCCCACACATACAATTATCTGCAAGGTCCCTCAATCGAGTGGTGAATTTCAAGTACAGATTCAACCACAAAGACCAGGGAGGTTTTTCAATGCCTCGCAAAGAAGGGCACCGTTTGGCAGACACTGAATATCCCTTTGAGCATGGTGAAGTTATCAATTAGGCTTTGGATGGTGTATCAAAACACAAGGCCAAATCTACACTGGAGTTGCTTACCAAGACGACATAGAATGTTCCTGAGTGGCCTAGTTACAGTTTTTGACTTAAATTCGCTTGAAAATCTATGGCAAGACTTGAAAATGGCTGTCTAGCAATGATCAACAATCAACTTGACAGAGCTTGAAGAATTTTCAAAAGAATAATGTGCAAATATTGTACAATCCAAAAAGACTCATATATGTAATCGCCGCCAAAGGTGCTTCTACAAAGTATTGACTCAGGAGTGTGAATACTTATGTAAATGAGATATTTCTGTATTTCATTTTCAATAAATGTACAAACATTTCCAAAAACATGTTTTTACTTTGTCATTATGGGGTATTGTTTGTAGATGGGTGAAAAAAATTATATTTAAAATATTTTGAATTCAGGCTGTAACACAACAAATGTGGAATAAGTCAAGGGGTATGAATACTTTCTGAAGGCACTTAATATATGTTTTAGTTATGACTTACTTGTGAAGAACTTATGATAAACTTCCTCTTAAAATGAGCACAATACTTAATAGTTATATGCAATGTTCCCTTTCATAGGCTACTGTCAGCAGAATATATGTGAGTTAAAAGTCAGAATAAGACTGTTTTTTAGTCATAGAGTGCATCAGTTTCAAAAGTGTCACTTCTTCTTTGAGGATCTTGTCTGTAACATCTCTTCTATCATATCCTCAGGAAGCAGCACTTTATGAAACAGCCAGTGGTGGAAAAAGTACCCAATTTTCACACTTGAGTAAAAGTAAAGATACCTTAATAGAAAATGACTCAAGTAAAAGTCTAAAAGTATTTGGTTAAGCAAATCTGAAAGCACATTTTTCATGTTCTTTTAATTTATGGATAGCCAGGGGCACACTCCAACACTCAGACATAATTTACAAGCAAAGCATTTGTGTTTAGTGAGTCCGCCAGATCAGAGGCAGTGGAGATGACCAGGGATGTTCTCTTGATAAGTGTGTGAATTGGACCATTTTCCTGTCCTGCTAAGCATTCAAAATGTAACTAGTACTTTTAGGTGTCAGGGAAAATGTATGGAGTAAAAAGTACATTCTTTTCTTTAGGAATGTCATGGTGTAAAAGTAAAAGTAATAAAAACAAATAAAGAGAGTCGCACACTCTATGTATAAACTCCCAGTAATTTATTGGGTAAGAAACCACCAACGTTTCGGCATCATTGAAGAAGGCACAGTGATGCTGAAACGTTGGTGGTTTCTTACCCAATAAATGACTGGGAGTTTATACATAGAGTGTGCAACTCTCTTTATTTGTTTTTATAGCTTACAGTTTATTTTCTGTTAGTCAGCACCTCTACACTAAATAATGTTCTCTGGGTGTGCGCCAGCTCATGCTTTTTATTACACTAGTAAAAGTAAAAGTTGTCAAAAATATAAATGGTAACGTAAAGTACAGATACCCCAAAAAAACTACTTAAGAAGTACTTTAAAGTATTTTTAATTAAGTACTTTACACCACTGGAAGCAACCACAGCAGATCAATGGGTGCACCTTGCAATAGGCAAGAGGAGAACGTAGTGAGGCATTATAACTCACCTCAGAGGAAGTCTGTCGGAAGTGCTTTTTCTGATTGATACTGTAGTACCATACCATACCACATCATATATGTGTTTTACAGATCTTATCCTAGAAGAGCTGGCTTTCAACTTAGCTGATCCAGAGTTGGCTACTCAGAAGAAAGAAAGTGATACAGCCAACACATATGGACAGGTAATGACCAAATCACCTCTAGCAGTTGTTGTTTAGTATTTTGTCCAAGTATTACAACTGGATGTGTCTTCTAGCTCTATGTGTTATGTGGAATTTCCCACAGGTCCCAAAGGTGTGTCCTATTGGTCTCCCTCCAAAGAAAGAAAATGAGACAGACAGCACCGATGTATACAGGTGAGCCACTGGTAGGTCAGCCCACAGATAGCCATACGTTATGACCCTGGTGTAATATTCATATGTGTCAGCATATTGAATTGTAATTGGATGCATTATACTGTCATATCATACTGTGCTATGATTGGTTAAGACCACCCAGGTGGAGAGGTCATTCTAAGATGATCATGGCCAGAGACACATGGACATGCAAGTTATAGCTAGTTAATAAAGAGCTACGTTTATAAATATCCTGTCGTCCTGCATTTTATTATTTTGTACAAAGCATACAAAACAAGACATGGTGTCAGAGTAAAAGGACTAAAAGATGGATTTTGCTGGAGTTCCTTCACCTCGAATGGATTGGGGGTCTACAAATCTACCCGATGCATGGCGTAAATTCAAACAGCATGTGGAGCTGATGTTCACGGGTCCTCTGAAGGAAAGAGGAGAAGAGGGAAAGTGCAGCTACCTGCTCCTCTGGATCGGTGAAAAAGGGAGAGACATTTACAACACATGGACACTTACCGAGGCTGAATCAAAGGTACTGAAAACATACTACGATCGTTTTTGAAGCATATGTTGTGCCAAAGACCAATACAATTTTCGCTAGGTACAAATTCCATGAGAAAGTACAAGGCGCTAGCGAATCGTTTGAACAGTTTGTCACTGAGCTGCGTCTGCTTGTGAAAGACTGTGATTATGCAAACAAGGATGAGATGGTCAGGGACCGTATTGTATTTGGAATACAATCACCGCGAGTGAGAGAGAAACTTTTGAATGTTGGATCAGAGTTAACGCTGGACAAAGCTATCGACATAGCCAGATCTCACGAGCTAGCACAGGTTCAGATGAAAACCATTTCAGGCGGCAGCACGAGCGCATCACGTGAACAAGCAGTGCACGCAGTCAGGCAGACATCAAAGCACACCTCCAGTGCCCAGAGAGCATGTTTCAGAACGGAGACAGACAGAACTCCAAAACAGAGCGACACAGACTCCAAACGCCCCAAAACATGTGGATATTGTGGATACAAAGTGCATGGCGAACAGGGGAATTGCCCAGCTAAAGGCAAACAGTGTACTAAATGTGGAAAATGGAATCACTTTGCAAAAGTGTGCAGAGTTTACCGTGGAAAAACAGTACATACAGTGAGTGAAGATGAAATGTCAATCAAAGAGTCAAATGCTGATGAACTGTTTATTGATTCAGTGACACAGAAAAGTCAGATATCAGAGACAGAGCAAGCCTTTGCTGACATTGAGATAGGAAGACAAGGCACAGAGCTAAAATTCAAACTAGACACTGGTGCACAAGTAAACATTATTCCTCTGAGTAAGTACAGAAGCTTGACATCTGAGTGTGAGCTACAGCCCACCATGCGCAGACTGACTGGTTATGGTGGTGAACAGCTCCCAGTAAAAGGCACATGCACTCTCAAATGCAAATACAAGGAAAGGGACATGATGTTGGACTTTTACGTTGTTGACACTCGAGCACCTGCAGTGCTAGGTCTTAAAGCATGTTTAGACATGGACCTTATCAAGCTAGTTTTATCAGTGACAGCACCAGTAGAGATAGAGAATGTCATGGAGGAGTTTGCTGATGTTTTTACAGGAATAGGACTATTCCCAGGAGAATGTACCATTCACCTTAACCCAGACGCAACCCCTGTGATCTACCCACCGAGAAAGATTCCACTTGCTCTCCGCGCCCGTCTGAAGAAAGAGTTGGAGAGCATGGAGCAATCTGACATCGTCACCAAGGTTACAGAACCGACGGATTGGGTCAACGCGTTAGTGGTGGTGGAGAAACCACGGACAGGCAAGCTCAGAGTATGTCTCGACCCAAGAGACTTGAACAAGGCTATCAAACGCCCCCATTACCCCTTACCGACGCTAGATGGCATCACACACAAGCTAGCGGGCGCACGCTACTTCAGTGTCATGGACGCCAGATCAGGCTACTGGGCTATCAAGCTCACAGAAGAGTCATCTAAGCTCACAACGTTCAACACACCGTTTGGACGCTACAGGTTCCGTCGCCTGCCTTTCGGGATTATCTCAGCCCAAGACGAGTTTCAGCGAAAGATCGACGAGGTGTACGAAGGCCTCGACGGAGTCGTGGCAATTGTGGACGACATCCTTGTCTATGGTCGAACCAAAGAGGAACACGACAGAAACCTCAGCGCGATGCTGCAAAGGTCCCGCGAGAGAGGAGTCCGGCTCAACCCCGAGAAGAGCACAGTCGGCGCTACAGAGGTCAGCTACTTCGGGCATCTTCTCACAGCGAATGGAATCAAGCCAGATCCGGCATTTTCTCCTCTCCACAGGCCATCCTGACTGTATGACTTTCCTCAGCTGTGTGAGTTGTGTGTCTTTTTCTGTTTCTGCTCGGATCTCCTTCAGTTTTGTGTCACTAACTGGTAAGTTGCTGTACACAGTGTGCACCTGCATGTCCATGCCTTCACTGAGGCTGCTGTCCTTGTAGGTAAGAAACTTCCTGGAGAGTGTGTCTGCGACAGGGATGTCTTTGCCTGGACGGTGAGTGATTGTGAAGTCGTATTTTTGTAGTTGAAGGATCATTCTCTGTAGCCTTGGCGGGGCTGCGGCTAACGGTTTCCTCATGATTGACTCGAGGGGCTTGTGGTCTGATTCCACAATGACTTGTCGTCCATAGACATACTGATGGAAACGCTTACATCCGAACAGAATGGCGTACAGCTCCTTTTCGATTTGAGCGTAGTTGATTTCACAGTCTGTGAGAGATTTGGAAGCGTAGCCGATGGGTTTTCCTTCTTGCAGTAGCACTGCCCCTAGTCCATACTTTGACGCGTCCACCTGGAGTCTGAGCTCTTTGTTGGGGTCGTAGTAGGCAAGGATTGGTCCTGGTTCTCTCGTGATCAAGTCTTTCACTTTCTGGAAAGCGATGTCGTGTTGGTTGTCCCAGAGGAACTCACTGGACTGCTTTAGCAGCTGACGCAGGGGTGCATTAGCATTGGAGAGGCTGGGTGCGAACTTGGCTAAGTAGTTGACCATGCCAAGCACTGTTTCCAGCTCTGCGCGGTTCTTTGGTGGCTCCATTTCCTTTATGGCTGAGATCTTCTGCGGATCTGGCTTGATTCCATTCGCTGTGAGAAGATGCCCGAAGTAGCTGACCTCTGTAGCGCCGACTGTGCTCTTCTCGGGGTTGAGCCGGACTCCTCTCTCGCGGGACCTTTGCAGCATCGCGCTGAGGTTTCTGTCGTGTTCCTCTTTGGTTCGACCATAGACAAGGATGTCGTCCACAATTGCCACGACATGTCATTGCTACAGTGAAAAGCTGAGTTGCTGAGAAATATTTGTTCTAAAAGTAACAGTATGCTGAATCATTGTTTGTCTGTTATGTTGATGCAGTTGGTGCAGTTTAAATGGTTACTTACCTCGAGTTCAAACTACAGAGCATATATTCAAAAGAAACGCTTTATTGTTCTACATATTTTTTCTTTTTTTTTAAAAGAAGGGGGATGTAATATTCATATGTGTCAGCATATTGAATTGTAATTGGATGCATTATACTGTCATATCATACTGTGCTATGATTGGTTAAGACCACCCAGGTGGAGAGGTCATTCTAAGATGATCATGGCCAGAGACACATGGACATGCAAGTTATAGCTAGTTAATAAAGAGCTACGTTTATAAATATCCTGTCGTCCTGCATTTTATTATTTTGTACAAAGCATACAAAACAAGACACCTGGGTGAGACCATACAGATATAACTGAGACTCAGATTTATCACCTCAGATTCCAGTAGAATCTGTCCAGTGTCCACTGCATACCAGTGCTCATCTGTGATTTTCTCTGTGTGTTTGTCAGTGAGTTACCAGCTCCAGTGGATGCCGGTCTGCTGAGTCCTTGCTCTGCTACCAGGGAGCTGGACTCCATAATGGAGGATTTGTTACTTGGCCTGGAGATGGGGGTGAGGAAGCATCTATCATTGAATACACCTTTGGTCAGAGCATGAGCAGAGGACGACTGTGGAAGAATGCATTTCCTTGTTTCCTTGTGTCCTCTTTCCTCGCCCCCTTCTCAAAACCCATTGTATGAGAAGGTCAGAGGGGAGGGACCTCTGAGCTTCCCATCAAATGGCTTCTCATCCAATGGGTTTTGAGAAGGAGGCAAGGAGAGATGGGGAGAATCAAGCAAATGCAATTGAGATTCTCCCTGTGTCTTTCAGTGAAGTTGACTTGATCTGACAGCAGAGGGCAGTATAACCAAACTAAACAAATATTGGTCAGCTTTAGTACCACTAGTGCCACCAAATGTAATATAATTTTGAGATATACAACTGTTAAAGACATGTTTTAGATGCATATGAACAGATGCAATTCTGTTTTGAGGACACACAGCTTTTTCTCATCTTTAGCTCCCAGACCCTCCCGCTCCCTCAACCCCACCACCACTTGTCCAGAAGTCAGTCAAAAAAACACAGGTTGTAGAAAATAAAGATAAGGATGACCCCCAAGCGGAACAGGAGAGCACCAACAGCCCAAAGACTTCTGATCTGGAGCGCAAGGCGTCAACACAGAGAAAAACGGACGCCATAGATGACCTTCTGGGAGGCCTGAGCTCTGATATGGAGAAGATGGGTGTACGAACAGTGGCGAAGGGCCACTGTGCTTCCTGTGGCAAGGTCATTGTGGGAAAGGTAAAAACCAGACAAAAGCTTGATTTCAAAATAACATTATAGGCGAAGATGATCAATCAAAAGTACTATGGACAGCATATGAAACAAAGTATATTTATTTCTTACCACTTTATTTCATTCTGCAGATGATCACAGCCCTGGGCCAGGTGTGGCACCCAGAACACTTTGTTTGTGTGGTGTGTCAGGCTGAGCTGGGCACCAGTGGCTTTTTTGAGAGGGAGGGGAAGGCCTACTGTGAGAAAGACTACCAGCACCTCTTCTCACCTCGCTGTGATTACTGCAAGGGCCCCATTCTGCAGGTACACTCCTTCTCTTTAGATTGGACTGTATTATCACCATTATCTAACGCTGCACAAAACCAACTCACCACCTCTCTAGATCTGTTGTCGTTGGGTTTACCTCACCGCATGCTGGGCTCTTTGACCTCTCTCTCAGAACATTCTGACAGCGATGGACCGCTCCTGGCACCCTGAGCACTTCTTCTGTTCCCACTGTGGGGAGCTCTTTGGGGCTGAAGGTGAGGGAGCACACATCTATCTGCCTGACAGATAGCACAACAACCACTACTGTTCCCTATAGGGTAACATACGTTTTAGACCACAGTGTGACTGAGAACACTCTCCTCTCTTTGTGTGTGTGTCCTTTGATGTGCCATAGGTTTTCTGGAGAAGGACGGGAAGCCGTACTGTCACAGAGACTTTTACCATCTATTTGCTCCAAAGTGCACTGGTTGTGGAGACCCTGTGAGAGAGAACTACCTGACTGCAGCCAATGGCACCTGGCATCCCAACTGCTTTGTCTGCTCAGTGAGTCGCTCACCACAGATCACACACATGGCTTCGGCTTCGAAACTTCTACCATTACTCAGACAATACACTTTGAACAGCCAACAGCCACAATGCAACATTGTGCTGATATTTTCATAATCCTCTTCAATCTCCAAAAAAGAGTAGGCCTACTATATCAACTAGATAGAATGAGTGATCTGTTTCTCCTTCTCTCCATCCCTCCAGGACTGTCTGAAGCCCTTCACCGATGGTTGTTTCCTGGAGCTGGATGGTCGTCCCCTGTGCTCTCTGCACTTCCACTCCCGACAGGGTACACTGTGTGGGGGCTGTGGAGAGCCCATCTCTGGCCGCTGCATCTCTGCTTTGGAGCGCAAGTTCCACCCTGAGCACTTTGTGTGTGCCTTCTGTCTGCGTAAACTCAGCCAAGGGGGTGTTCAAGGAGCAGGCAGGGAAACCCTACTGCTCAGCCTGCCACACCAAACTGTTTGTGTAAGACTTATACTGTAATAATAGTACCCAGTTAATATATAAGGTAATCAAATTAACCTGAAAAAAGTCATACTTATGTGGAAAAATCCCACACAAATCATCAAGGCAATATCCGCATACGAAATGAAAAATAAACTATTAGGCCTCCCGAGTGGCGCAGCGGTCTAAGGCACTGCATCGCAGTGCTTGAGGCATCACTACAGACCCAGGTTCGATCCCAGGCTGTGTTATAACCGGCCGTGACTGGGAGTCCCATAGGGCGGCACACAATTGACCCAGCGTCGTCTGGGTTAGGGGAGGGTTTGGCCAGGGGGGCTTTACTTGGCCCTTCACAGAACAGTGCAAAATGGCTCTAACCAGAATAGATAGAGGAGTGGGAGGCCCCGGTGCACAAATGAGCAAGAGGGCAAATACATTAGGGTGTCTAGTTTGAGAAACAGGTGCCTCACAGGTCCTCAACTGGCAGCTTCATTAAATAGTACCCGCAAAACACCAGTCTCAACAGTGAAGAGGTGACTGCGGGATGCTGACCTTCTAGGCAGAGTTGGAAAAAAAAAAGCTATATCTCAGACTGCCCATCTTAATCTTTTATTTTTATTGGCCAGTCTGAGATATGGCTTTTTCTTTGCAACTCTGCCTAGAAGGTCAGCATCCCGGAGTCGCCTCTTCACTGTTGACGTTGAGACTGGTGTTTTGCGGGTACTATTTAATGAAGCTGCCAGTTGAGGACCTGTGAGGCGTCTGTTTCTTAAACTAGACACTCTAACATATTTGTCCTCTTGCTCAGTTGTGTACCGGGGCCTCCCACTCCTCTTTCTATTCTGGTTAGAGCCAGTTTGCGCTGTTCTGTGAAGGGAGTAGTACACAGCGTTATACAAGATCTTCAGTTTCTTGGCAATTTCTCGCATGGAATAGCCTTAATTTCTCAGAACAAGAATAGACTGACGAGTTTCAGAAGAAAGTTATTTGTTTCTGGCCATTTTGAGCCTGTAATCGAACCCACAATTGCTGATGCTCCAGATACTCAACTAGTCTCAAGAAGGTCAGTTTTATTGCTTCTTTAATCAGCACAACAGTTTTCAGCTGTGCTAACATAATTGCAAAAGGGTTTTCTAATGATCAATTAGCCTTTTAAAATGATAAACTTGGATTAGCAAACACAACGTGCCATTGGAACACAGGACTGATGGTTGCTGATAATGGACCTCTGTACGCCTATGTAGATATTCCATACAAAATCAGCCGTTTCCAGCTACAATTGCCATTTACAACATTAAGAATGTCTACACTGTATTTCTGATCAATTTGATGTTATTTTAATGGACAAAAAATTGCTTTTCTTTCGAAAAACAAGGACATTTCTAAGTGACCCCAAACTTTTGAACGGTAGTGTATATGTGAAATTAATAATAATAGAAAAATAAACGATTCATTTAATTTATTTTGTGTCCTGTCCTGCGTTGCATGTGGATATACACTGAGGGTACAAAACATTAAGAATTTCTGCTCTTTCCATGACAGACTGACCAGGTGAATCCAGGTGAAAGCTATGATCCCTTATTGATGTCACTTGTTAAATCCACTTCAATCAGTGTAGATGAAGGGGAGAAGACAGGTTAAAGAAGGATTTTTAAGCCTTGAGACATATGAGACATGGATTGTGTATGAATGTGTGCCATTCAGAGGGTGAATGGGCAAGACAAAAGATTTAAGTGCCTTGGAATGGGGTATGGTAGTAGATGCCAGGGCGCACCGGTTTGTGTCAAGAACTGCAACGCTGCTGTGTTTTTCACACACTACAGTTTCCTGTTTGTATCAAGAATGGTCTACCACCCAAAGGACATCCAGCAACTGTGGGAAGCATTAGAGTCAACATGGGCCAGCATCCCTGTGGAACGCTTTCGAAACACTTTGTAGAGTCCATGCCCGACGAATTGAGGCTGTTCTGTGGGCAAAAGGAGGGGTGCAACTCAATATTAGGAAGGTGTTCATAATGTTTTGTACACTCAGTGTATAACCACGTATTCGTGGCAATGAACAGGAGTGTTTGTTTAGAATAGGCTTACCAAGGAAAAGAGTTACCATCTGAATGCCTCATTGAAATGTAATGACATAATAGAGCAGATCATGAAAATATTATTTCTAATGTCTGAAACATTAAATCAAATTATACATTTGTGAACTTTGAATCGCTTAAGGTGTATCAATATCGCCTAAATTCTGTTTAAATTAATTAATCATGGTCACAAAATATTTAAAGATGGAGAAAGAATAACAGCAATCAACCAAATCCAGTTGAGTTTTTCCTGGAGGAAGATCCATGGTCTCCATAAAGATGTCCTCAGTGCCATGGGTTGGCAGAGGGGTGATCCATGCTGGCAGAGCCAAGGCTGCTTTCCGACTGTAGTTTATCAAGAGACTTCTCTATGGCTCTGACAGTTTACATTGGCATATTCTCTCTGGAACCAAGTTACTGTGTCAGGTTTAGAAGAATTCTCCACACTGACCCTCCTATTGCAGTCTATGAGAGATTGAGTAGGGTGCTGAAACAAATAGTGAAGGTTCCAGGAGAAGCTTTAACAACAGAAGTGAGCACCAACCCACACCACTTACGGTAACTCAAGGCACACAGCCAGGTTGTAATATGGTGTAATACTGGGGGCCCTACAAAGGAGGCACTTCTCTGCTGATGTATAGGACTACTGGCTGTGTGCAGGCAGTGTGTGACTGGACATTGAGGAGGGGATAAATCATGTTGTCATCAGCACATTAGATCAAGTCTCCTGTTCTCCTATCCTGGATTAACGTGGGCTGGTGTCACAACCTACTCCTGTGTCTGGCCAAGCCCTCTGCTCTGTTTGTTAATGTACCGCTCTCTCATATGATTTCTAAGCCTTGTTTAACACACCGTTTCCTGTATAAAAGCTTTTCATAGCTGTAAACTTATATTGGTCAGGTTAAATGTAGATTTCAGTGAAATGCCTCTGACATACACGCTGACATTAATCCTGGCTGTGGTGTGTAAGTCTTCTTGACCAGACAGCAATGAAGACAGTCTCAAACCACATTAAAACAGAAAACGAATCAAGATATAAAACGAAACAGGCCAAAAATACACAAGCACTTTACATACTTCAAGAGGAGTGATCCAACTGAGGGGAGGAAAAGGTTCTTGGCGCATAATAAACCTAGCGAACATGAAATGTGAGTGGTGGCTCTTCTAGAAGGCGGTGAATAAAGGGCTGTCTGTGGGTGCTGGGGGGAATGTAACTCAGGTGACATTTACTGCTGTGTAACGGGGTAACAGAGACCCGTGGAGTGGACTGGGGCATGGAAAGGCATACTGAGCTAGCGGCTGGAGGCTGGAGAAGGCCAGAGGGTGAGGAGGAGGGCAATAGGGAGAGTTACCCCAGTGTGACACTGAAACCCTACCCTCGCTCCAAACTGCCTGAGGCCCCTGTGTCACCCCACTGGGGGTAGAGGGGTACGCAGACAGGCACAGTCCCACTGTGGGTCACAACCAAGCGAGGGTGGCCTTCTACCTCATAAACCCAGAGTTGACATGTACCCTCAATCAACGTTTCAGCCAATAACTGTCTAATACATCTCAGTTAATCAGTTTGACAGCCAGCAGACCAGTATTCACACATGTAGATGGCATCTTAGTTCTGTTTATTAAAGAAGATTCCATTATGGTGATGAGAGTATAGCTGAGTGGAGTTCACTCATGACCTGAGGGCAGAGGCAGACACAACAGACATTAACACACTTGAGAAAACCAGCGAAAACAAACTCTCTGAACCCAAACAGATACAAGGGTCATTTGCCTGCGTCCACAACCCTCATATGTTCCTTGATACTTCTGCCAGGCCCCAAAGTATCAAGGAACATATGAGGGTTGTGGATGCAGGCAAATTTGAAACAGACAAAATGGTGGCAAGATAGGCTCACAAAGACGAGTGACTAGTCCTCAGAGTACTAAGGCTTTTTCTCCACAGTTGATCCTCTGTGTGTCTGTGTGAGCATCATTGTTATGGAATTAGTTGCCTGCAGTGAGACACAGTCATGATTAATTGGGGAGCAAAAAAATATGAAATCTGTTGCCAACTACAATAATGACCCTGGTGTACTTTTCCACCACAAATAGGCCCGTATCCATGGTTTCACTGGTCAGCATCACTGACTTTCATAAATAACCGAATTAGCACAGCTTCAGTGCTCAGCTTGAACCTAGGCGCTGGCAATGCAGAGTAAGCTGTTATTCTAACTGACCAAACAGAGAAAAAAGCCTGTAAAGATATTCACTTCAACAAATGTGGGCCGTTTTAACGAGACTCAATGGTCCATGTCCATTTCAAAGTCCCTAAGTGTTAAAACATTACCTCACATTATCTTACACTGGGAAAATAGTTTAATTTGACTACAGCCAGGGTAGGTAATAAGGATATTGGTTTACAAGGTGGTCCTTCCTTGGTGCTGTATATACGTCAGACTCCATATGTCCATATATGAGAGGTCAGTGTTCCTGGAGGTGTGAATGGATTTGGTTTTTTAAGTGGAGAGAAAAAGTGACAATTTCAACACCCCTCTAATTACTTCCACAGTAACACAGGCGGTGACTTAGGAGCAGAGAAGTTAATTAGGCCAGAGTATTCACGCTGGGGCCGATCCAGTCCTGGTCCCTCTGGGCTGTGGGCTGGCTGTGTTTCACTTGGCCCAGTCCTGCTGCCCTTGCTGGGCTGGCGGAGGGTGCAGGTCTCACACCTGATTAATGACTGGCTCCTCTGTCCTCAGGCACTTCCTGTTGTCCTTGGCTGAGCCTCCTCGACCTGCTCTCCTCTCTTACTGTCTAACACCAATAGTAAACGCAGGCTGACACACACATACACACTGACGCATACACACACACTAACACATGTGCACACACATGCATACACACAAATAAATATGAACACACACTTTTTCAACATTCGTTAATGTGCTGTACACTCAGTGGTGTAAAGTATAACTTAAGTAGTTTTTGGGGGTATCTGTAATTTACTATTTATATTTTTGACTACTTTTATTTTTACTCCACTACATTCCTAAAGAAAAGTATGTACTTTTTACTCCATACATTTTCTCTGACACCCAAAAGTACT